GGCTTTAGAAAATAGAAAGTCAGAGAAAGAGAGAGAGAGAGAGAGAAAGAGAGAGAGAGAGAAAAGAGAGAAAGAGAGAGAGAGGGGGTTTAGAATATCCACATTCAGTTTATCAGAAAACTTTCTCKMTGCGGCGGGGGTTGTTGAGTTCTTTCAAAGATCAGGCAATGCGACTTTGCAAAACTAAAAATCATAGAGAGAGAGAGACAGAGCAGTTCAGAAAAAACAATTAGAAGTTATCAGAAAAATTATGACTATAAAAGCTCATTTTTAAGAGCTTTGGGGAAAGCTTTTAAGCTCTCATATACATATTTTGTGGATGGTTCAGTTCTTACRAACATGAAGCAGTGCGACTTTGCAAAACTAAAAACCATAGAGGGAGAGAGAGAGAGAACAGTTCAGAAAATCCAAGTTCGAATTTTCAAATCCAGTAACAGAGCCATTGTTCCAAGTGGGGTCTACGACTTAACCTATTCTATTGGCTCTAAAAGAGTGCCATCCGCGTAATATTAACGTTTGATGATAAGGTGGATGGTATTATTGAAAAGTGAAATTAAGCCCCTGGTGCAGGCGAAATGGTCCTGCTTGCCGGGAATTACTGTCGCAATGAAAATGACCACAACAAAGACTGTGAAGGTTTTCCTCAACGTTCGGCTAAAGCACATAAAAGTAGGTATGAAGCAATAATTACAAATTAGTTGGAGCCAGACTCGGCGCCGTTGAATGGGCATAAGCTGGCAAAGAAAAGGAGACTAACGAAGAATTAAATACAGCGTTTTCATGCCACAGTACAAAAGATTGAATCAATGGTTTCATAATCGACAGTGCAAAATTTACATATTTATGGACGGATCAAAAGGTGAAATAGGAACAGGACCGGTTTCGGCAGGCAGGCAGCTTCAAACTAAACTCTTTCAGGCCGAAATTGTGTGCATTGTATAGAATTAAAAGCTGCCTTGCTCGAGAGCTACTGGAGACGACCTTGTCTAGAACATTCAGCTGCTTGAAGGATTGTTTGAAACAATGGACGATAGACGAACACCTTAGGTCTTGGAATAGTAGCAATACAGAGCACACCGTAAAGTTATTTTGAGGTAATGTTGATGGTAAGGGGTTTTTCCAAATAACTTACTACCCGGCAACTATAATGATGGCATAAATGCGACAGCCAGCGGTCTGGCGCCCACCCCAAAGCTCTATCAACCAATCAAACGAAAATACAGTTTCATCATTTTATAGTATTCAAAAGGCGAATCATCAACTCTCACTGATCTCTAATTACTACCCAAAAATTAAAATAAAGTGAAAGGATTTTAATAGAAAGAATTCCACATAGTTTTTTAAATGTTTTTCATTGTTATTTATGAACGAATAGTGTCAACAGATCTCTTAAGGAGAAGCTGCAGCTTCTTCACAATATTTCATAGAGTCATTTACGAATGATTCACATTCGAACTTTGCGAATTTTGGAAAATTTTAAGGTTAATAATACCAAACTTATTAACCTTAAAATTTTCCAAAATATATTTTGGTTGTTCGGTATAAATAGTTTGTTCTATTTGGTATAAATGATATAAATTTTCTGATCCATCAAGAAAAAAAAAAGTTTATTTCTGCGCTGGACCAATCAAAACCCAGAACTCATTTTAGGTTATTCACAGAAAAATTTGGCCAAATCTACTTTACCCCAACCAATATATAATCATTTCACATTTCATGTTTCACCAAAACAACAAAGAACATGCTATTTTTGTTAGTGTATGCTTGGAGTTACGCTGCTAATAAGTAATATGATGATGATATGCCAAAGTGAACGTGTTATAAACACTCCAATAAGCACCACTGCAACGTCACATAAGCAACAACAACATATACAGTATACATATATGTATGTATATTGTAAGGAAAGCGAGGCAACGGAAACGCTGCGAAACATTTGGGAGGCAGTCCAAACATTTTGTCAAAGTGAGCAAATTGCGCCAGGACTCACTTCACAAATGTGGGAGAGAGTTAACGGCATAAAATGAGTGACACAAAGCAATATGATAATGAAAACAAAAAACAACAAAAGCAGCAACGTAAAATATAAAGTTCACATACATATGTACATTTCATTAATTAACTAAATAGGACATACCGAAAAAAGTGTAGAAAAATGCTACAAAAGCCAACTGTCAAAGCTTTCCTGGAAGTATGCAACCAATACATAAAAATACACGCACTCACCTACTTAAGGCATTTACTAACATTCTCTTGCCTCAATTTTATTAGAACGAACGTGATTGCTTTATTCATCATTTGCTTGCGCTATTGCTGCAACTAAGTTTGGTTTGCAGCATTTGTTGTTGCTATTGTTTTGTAATCCATATTCTGATTTTATCCTCGAATCACATTTTTCATCCTTTTTTTTTTTTGGGTTTCTTTAAAAAGAGCTCAAGTTTTATGACAAAAATGCCACGCCATTCTCACTTTACTGTTTACACCGCCGTCTCCCTTCCGCGCTGCGCCTTTGCGTTCGAGAGCAGCGCAAGCGTTGAAGTATTCCAAGTTTGCCGCCGCCAAGAGGCAAGTATCGGCTGCTTCGCTTCACTCTTTTTCCATACCTTTTTGTTGCTTATTTGTTGTTGCTTGTTGCTCGTTTTTGGCTCTGCGAACCAAAATTCCGAAATTAACTATAAGCAAGGCTCCGGTATGTGTTTGCATGTCGTTTCTTAACATAGGACAGAGCAGCGCACATATAGAGCCCAGCACTATTGCATTGGTGTTAAGTAAAAGGGAAGCGCATTCAAGTAATCATTGAGGCGTTTTTATTTAACACGTTGCGAGGCATCAAATTACCCCCTCAAAGAAAAGTGAAATACAAAATGGAAAAAACAAAAACMAAAACAAAAAGCGCAAGAAACACTTACTTATATACAAGAAGCAAAGGCAAGAACAACAAAAAACTGAATAAATAAGAAAAAGCAACTTTCAAGGAAGTAAAAAGGCGCAAAAGACGGTTYGGTTTGCAGTAAAGTCGAGGTGTAACAAATATCGAACACGAAAATCTTGACAAAGCACTGAGAAAAAAATTGCTATAAATTCGAGTGAAAGGAGATTCTAAGCGATGTGAGCATTTTATGAAAACTTCTTCAAAAGCTCTAGGGATAAGAAAAATGTATGTTCCGATATTCGAAGTAAGTTATTTGAGCCTTACTTTGAAAGATTCRTTAAAAGCTGTAAAAAAATAGTTCATAGCTCGATAGTCTATATAAATTATTTGAGTTTTACTTTCAAAATTTTATTACAAGTTCAAAAAGCTCATTTTAAGAAAATTATTTGAGCTTTCAAACTTATATTTGAAGATTTAAAAAAGAATAAGAAAAAAAGTTTATACATCGATATTTTAAGCAAATATTTGGAAAGTTTCATTAATAAGCTTTAGAAGCTCCAAGAAGATCTCGACATTAAAAAAATATTTGAATTGAGCTTGAAGGTTTCATTCAAATATCAAAAAGCTCCAAAGAGAATCGTTCATAGCTCGAGACTCWACGTTAATTATTTGAACATTTTATTAAAATCTCTTAAAGATTATTTTAAAAAAGTTATTTGAGCTTTGGAAGTTATATTGGACAATCTAAAAGCTCGAAGGATAAGAAAAGCTTTACTAAACGCTCTAAAAGTTCACTTTATAAAAATTACTTGAGCTTTATTTTCGAAGATCTAAAAGCTGAATCGTTATTTAAGTTGATTCAAATATCTAAAAGCACCAAAAAAAAAAAAAAAGAGTTACTACCTCGACATTCTAAATAAATTATATGAGCTTACTTCCAAAGTTCAATTTAAAGATCTAAAAGCTTCAAAAGGAATAAAAATCTGGTCTTGAGACTATACATTTTTTGAGCATTTTTTTTTAAGTTTCATTAAAAACTCGAAGAAAAAGAAGTGTTTATATCTCGCTGTATTAAAAAAAATATGTGAGCATACTTTGAAATATTGAGTTAAAGTCTTAAAAGCTTAAAAGCCTACAAGAGGAAGAAGTGTATTTTTGAGACTCTAAATAATATCTTTTTTTCACTTTGAAATTTTCATTTAATGCTCCAAGAAAATAATTATTTTGGTTTTTCTCTAAAAGTTTCATTAAAAACTTAAAAAGCTCCAAGAAGAAAAAAAGTTTATATCTCGCTGTTTTAAATAAATTATTTGAATACACTTTGAAATTTTTACTTAAATAAGTAAAAGCCCAAAAAGCTCCAAGTAGAAGAAAAGGCTATCAATGATGTCTTTTTTTCAATTTGAAATTTTCATTAAATGCTCCAAGAAATAATAATATCAAAAAACCTGGTAAATCTTGAAATTTAAAAAAAAAWATTCTTAGTTTTTCTCAAAGTAGAAGAATAATTCAAAAGCTTCAAGAGGAAGCAAAGCTTATACGTCAATATTTTAAACAAATTTTTTGAGCTAACTTTGAAGGTTTGATTAAAAGCCTTAAAAACTCAAAAAGCTCCAGCCAGAAGCAAAATGTTAATCTTGAGGCTCTTAATAAAACATCAGAACTTTATCTTTAATGCTTCATTATAAGCTTTGTTTCATTAAAAGCTCCAAAAGCGCCAAGTAGAAGAAATCAACAGATTATATTAAGTATAAACTTTTTAAAATTTGTAAGCAACACAATCATGTAAACTATCAGTAGAATATATCTTTGATAAATATTTATCTAAGGGATCGCCATAATCTTGGCGAGAAGAGAAGAGAGAGAGAGACATGAGAAGCTTAAAGAACCGTTCCCACGACAGTCTGGCCCACGGATCCGGATATTTTTTTCGACCACGGACTGTCAACTAGGCAGATTTCTACCGCTACATCAACAACAAGCATGAAAGAAAATAGAAAGCTTTTTATATGAGATCTCTTTGCTTGAATCGAGAGATAAACTTACCGAAAGTCAGAGAGCTTTTTAAATGATACTAAATGATATTTTAATATTTTCTATTATAATTTCTTTGCCATCCGAAACTTACCAAAATGTCCGCTGTCGTATCAGTACTTTGCACACCATCCGCTACACGCAACTGCAGCACATATTTATCCTTCAACTCACGATCGAGCGCATCTTTCAAGTACAGCCGCCCGGTCTCAGATTCCAATAGAAACTTTTCGTCATCACCGCCAATCAGGCTAAAGGTGAGCGAGCCCAACGTATCGGGATCTGAGGCGCGTATGGTCGCGATATGATGACCAGCGCCCAAGTCTTCGCTGACATTGAAAGAGAGCGGCGTGTCACGAAACACAGGCGGGCTATCGTTCTTGTCCAACACGCGGACGCTGACCTGCAAGTGAGATGAAAGGAATGAGTAATGCAAATAAAATGAAGAAAGGAAATAATCTACATAATAATGTAACAAATATAACAATAAATTGCAGAGAGCTTCAGACTAGACTTGTGAGATTATTTGAATTAATTTGTGGCGAGTTGTAAACGTAAATCGTTATTAAGTGTGGCATTAACACGTTATCAAAGCTAATAAACTGAATTGGCAAATATATTAGAAGTAATAGTTGCATACAAGTGGAGTATACTATATATATGTRTGGYATATTTGTGCMTGTATGCGTGCGTAGCTGTGTGCGCATGCGCGCCGTGGCCGACACCATAATGACAATTCAATAAAATAATTAATTGTAATCATAACCATATATTGCATGTACGACTAAAGCATTTTATCGCAACAACAACAACAGCAACAGCAACAACAATGGCAACAACGACAAGAACAGCAGCATCAGCAACSATAACATTGCTTTACAAGTGCGCTGAACAAAAAGCGGCTAAACACCAGTAACCTCCTGGTTGTTGCAACAGGMAGAAAACATGCCTCCACACACACACACACATACACTTAAGTGTTGCATTGCAGCCAAGCGAAATGTGTGAGTGAGAAAGAGTTACGSCGGCCCAGCAGAGAGCGAGAGTAAGGCAAGAAGTAGTTGTGTGGTGGAGCGGGTTTGCGTTGCACGCTGAAATGGTTGGCTGTTACAATAATAAAAATAACAACAAGTTTGCTGAACACAACAAGCTGTAGCTGGTAGCAGCGGAGTGCAACAACGCCAACACTTACACCATTTACCAAGTGGCAGCTACATTTTTAATTCAATTAAACGCTGCTACAAAAAGGTGAGCTGCTGCTGCTGCTGCTATCAACCATAAAATCACAGCAAATACAATTGCGGCGCGGCGCAAAAAAAGCACATCTAAACGATGCGCACACACAGCTACAAACGCAAATATGTTGCTGCAATGTACGCCTAGCGCAACTATGTGCATGTGAGTGTAGTCAACAGCATGGGTGTGATGATGTGCAAYATGCCAGATACACGCTAGGAGCGCAAGCCGCAACAACAACAGTATAAAACTCGGAAAAGAGTAAAGAAAAAAGAAGAAGCAACGAGTAATAGAAGCACGCTGGCGCTGTTATTGTGTTACTAGCTGTGGCATGCAACATGCGTGCCTATTTCACAGCGTTGCGGCTGTGTGCGTACACCCTACAGGCCGCATCAAGCAGTCAGCGCGCGAGTTAGTTTGGCAGCTAAAGAGCCAGGCACGCAGCAGCCGACTGCCAACTCCCCACTTTCGACTGCGGGCTGGTACGTACAAGCAGTTGTGTGTGCAACAATAACAAAAAAGGTGCTGCACATGCGCGYATAATGCTGCGCTGCTTTGTGGCGAGTGCAAAAGTTTCACTCTGTGTTGGAAATTGTTATTGAAGTAATCATATAATTACGACTTTTTCAAGTCAAAGCGCGCTCGAAAAGGAAATAACTGCTTTGTGTGCGGCAGGCGTACATGGCCAACTGCTGCGAGAACCGCTTATGCTTAACTACAACAACAAGAAGAGTAGCGCGCTACAACAACAAGAGTGGCGCACAGCAATAAGCGAAGTAGCGTAGTGCCTTAGTCAGCTATGTGCGTAATCCGGCTTTGGCTTTAAGCGTAACGATGAGCTGTCTTAAAGCCAACGGCATCAGTTCCTTGCCATTGAGTCAGACCAACTGATAAATCTAAGCGTTGTGACACACTTGTGGCTGCTGTGAAACACAAACATATGCTACTTAAGCGCGGCGTGGCCGCTTGGTGGACTTGAAGGCACTCTGTTTTATAATGCTAATGAGTGCGTGTGTCTGTGTAAGTACATACGCGCATGAGAACACAAGTAATAAAGCATATAAGCAACTGAAACATTAGCTTGTTTTGCCATAGTTCAGTTCTGACTGACTTAATAATAGTCAGCTGTCCGTAATATTTGTTACGTTAGATTTTTATAACTGAATATGGGGATATATTAGTTTATTAGTCTTGCGGTATTTTTTTTTTATTTATAATTTTTTTTATTTTATAACGGTTTGATGACCCATGCCCAGCTCTTGACCGATGCTACGGCTGCTACTATGCCGGACTCTTTCGACCAATTCAGGGATTTTATCGCAATTTTCGACGATAGACCTCTACACAAGAACGAAAACGTTGAAACCATCGTTGTGCGGTGGAAATGGAAACTGTATTGGGTCCATAAACTGCAAAAATTTTATTGGCGGCTTGAGATGCATTTTTGTCTTTATTGTAGTAGTAGTACTGTAAAATATGCCGTATTTCCTCTTTATTTAGCTCCATGTTTGCGACGCTATAACTCACGAACGACTTAAACGAAACGACAATCAATCAAATACTAGCGCGTGAAATGAGCTTTCCAAAAAGGTATAGCATGACCTGATGCGATGAATAAAACTAGAACTACGCGCTCTCAGCGCCAACTAGCGAAAACCCCGCAAGACTTTTTTGACAACCTTATATTTCTAACTGAACAAATTTAGTTCAAAAATTAATAATTTATTTTCTTTAAAGTATGGTGGCAACTCACTTATTTTCACTAATTTGTTATTTTAACTCGAAAAAAAAAATTTATTTTTCAATATTTTTTTAAAATAACAAGTCAAATTTTGATATTTGTGCCTTGAACAAAGTATGTTAAGTTAGCCATCATGCTTCTAGCACCCAAAATCAAACATTGGAGACCTTATAAAGTAATAGATCAATTGAAAAGTCCYCRGCCTACCATAGTARAACACATTCATTTGATAAAATTATTATGTTTTATTTAACAAAGTTCCATTCAMAGGTGATACACACTGACTATRGCGACCCTCCTACTTAACGATACCATTTTTGTAGTACAATTTGTTTCTTGCTTCAAAACAGGCCCCTCTTTCGGCACTCACCTCTTAATTCSACGAAAATTTCTACCCAACGTGCATACTTTTGAGATCTGAGAACAGGATATTGTCACTGGGGCCATAGTAGGAAAATACGGTGGATGCAAAAGCAACTTGAAGCCCAATTCATGGTTTTCTGTCATCGTTTTCACTGACTTGTGACGCCGTGCATTGTCTTGGTGAATAGTACTTTCGTCCTTTTTTCGGTGATTTCGTCTTTAAACTTTTGCGTTGTTTTCACGCTTTGAAGGAGATTCATCGTATGCAGTCCATTCGAATGACCGTCGATTGGACTTCGGAGTGAAATGACATAGAAATGTGTCATCAATTGTCACATACCGATGCAAGAATTTAGTTTATTACGCTAGAATACCTCCAAACACTGCTGCAAAYCATCAACTCAACAAGCTTCCTTCCACCCTTGTATTAATCAATGATATGTGGATAAATGGACGTGTTTGATGTTTTTATCGGTAACAATTTCTTTGGTGCTCATTTCACCACTTCTAATCTTAGCATTTGAATTTTTGTTGGTTGATTTTATTTGTTAGAGTCCAAAAAATGGAATATATAACCACGTAAACGGTGCCTATCCCAATAAAGAAGAAGAGTCCAGATAATGTTCATGAAGCCAAAACTTGACGTCAACAGTATTTTTTCTTCAAAAAGTAACGCTTTATTAACACACTAAAATATTTTATGATTCTTTTTGTGTAAATTAATATATGGTGATTCGCCCAAAACAAAATAATTCACAAACTAATGCTCTGACAGCTGTMAAATTTATACATGGTTACTATAAGATTATAACTAAAACTCCTATGGATTTAATGCTAGTAGTATTATTTACGATTTTAAATTGACCTGTTATCTGCTATGTACGATATTCGGTGCCTTGTTCGACACTTAAAAACAAGAAGTCGATATCCCCTCATATTATTTTTTCTTTTGATACCCTGAGCATGTTCGGGAACACTATAGAATATTTATATACCATAAATGATCAACATGAGGAGCCAAACACATTAAGCTGTGTGCCTCTGCCTGTATATATGACAACTAGTCCCTCAGCTTTTGAGTTATCGATCTGAAATTTGCAGAAGCTCTTTTGGGATCAACTGAAAATGGCTTTCACTGAGCGG